GTGCAATAATATACGCGAAAACGCGAGACTTCCTCGTGAAAATCATCGCTTAGAATTATTTACAAGCGGGTGCAGTTGGTCGGCGACCTGGTGCAATCATATACGCGAAAACGCGAGACTTCCTCGTGAAAATCATCGTCTGGAATTATTTACCAGCGGGTGCAGTTGGTCGGCGACTTGGTGCAGCAATATACTCGAAAATTTTCATACTTCCTCACGAGTAGCATTGTCTGGAACAATTTATAAGCTGGGGCCACAAGGCAGCGACCTTCCGTGATATTTTAATTAAAAGTATTAGAAGAAATCTTTCCCACGCTCGCTGTAGCGATAATTTAATATATAATTTTAATAATTTATTTTTTTGACATAACTAAACCATATTCTTATACATCAATGTTTTCTATTTATTAAAACCTTTATTTTGTGTATATTTCAAATAGTCGATTTTAAATCAAATTTCAAATTTCGCGCGCGTTTCCGTTCGCAGCGTTCCGTTCTGCAGTCACTTTTGTGAACCCTGGTGTCGATCAAGCAGAGGATTGTGTCCATCGTTGTCAGCGCTCGTTTAAATAATTCGAACTTGCATAGACTCAAATAGTGTCTTGGGATTACCTTTTTTTTTATTATTTGTACAAAAGTCTTTGTCGAATATCGTTTTTTTTAAGTGCTTCGTTTTAGCATTGATTTTCATTCATCGATAGATTTTGGCCTATTGTTTTATAGAATTGTATATATAAACAGCTGATCATTTTCATTTGTTACACAATTGAAACTAGATCAAGTTATTGTACATAACACCTGTTATACGTTATAGTTTTAAATATAAAGAGTTATTTGTGCTTTTATTTTTGAATAGTTCAAAGATGAAGTCATTAGATTTACAAAAGTTTAAGCAACTGCAAAGTTCTCCTGGTTCCATAAGGAACATTTGTATTTTGGCCCATGTTGATCATGGCAAAACTACACTGGCAGACTCACTTTTAGCTAGCAATGGAATCATTTCAAATAAGCTTGCAGGCAAATTGCGCTACCTTGACAGCCGTCCAGATGAACAGCTTCGTGGTATTACTATGAAATCCAGTCTCATCACTCTGTATCATGCGTTTGATAATTCAGAATACATAGTAAATCTCATAGATTCTCCAGGGCATGTGGATTTTGCATCAGAAGTATCGACTGCTGTTAGATTGTGCGATGGTGCTATCATTGTAATAGATGCAGTTGAAGGGGTTTGTCCTCAAACTCGTAGTGCTTTATCAATTGCTTATATTGAACATTTAAAACCTGTTCTAGTCTTCAACAAAATAGATAGACTGATAACTGAAATGCAGCTCTCGCCACTGGATGCTTATCATCATCTCAATCAAGTGTTGGAACAAGTGAATGCTGTTATGGGTGAATTATTTGCTACTGATGTTATGGAAAGAGATGAAGAAGAAGAAAAAGAAGCAGCACCTGTTAAAACTGAGGAGGATAAAATTGAAAGAAATTTAGCTGATTGGCAGTCTGCTCTTGAAGAGATTGATGACTCTCATTTGTACTTCTCGCCAGAACAGGGAAATGTTCTATTTGCCAGTGCTATAGATGGATGGGGTTTTTCAGTTCATGATTTTGCTAAAATATTTGCTGCTAAATTAGGATTCAGTGAGAGAGTACTGTCAAAAACCTTGTGGGGCGATTATTACTTAAATACTAAACTTAAGAGAATAATGAAAGGGGCTCAAGAAAAAGCTAAAAAGCCTTTATTTGTGCAGCTCATATTGGAGAACATCTGGACTTTGTATGAGACAGTGGTGACTAGAAGAGATAAAGAAAAAGTAGCAACAATGGTAGAGAAATTGAATATCAAGTTAACTACAAGAGATTTAAGAATTACAGATTCAAAGGCTCAACTTCATGCAATTTGCAGTCAATGGTTACCTTTAGCTAGAGCATGTCTTAACATGGTTGCACAGAAAGTTCCACCCCCAAATAATTTGCCTAGTGAAAAAGTCAAACGCCTCATAAGTGGTATTGATGAATTCTCATCGATGCCTGAAGAAACTCAGCAATTGACTGAAGATTTCTTGGCTTGTAAAGCTCACGATGATGCTCCAGTTATAATTTTTATTTCAAAAATGTTCCCTGTCGATACCAAGTCATTACCTGAAAATAAACCCAAACCTCTTACTCAGGAAGAATTATTATTGAGAAAAGAAATGGCTCGTCAAAGACACGCAGAGAGAATGGAAAAAGAAAAGCAAGACCAACAAGATCAACAAGACCAACAAGATCTCACAAAAAATTTCAGCGAACTAACTTTGCAAACAACAGAAGTTCAACCAGAAGAAAATAAAGAAGAGGATTGTGAAAATCATTTGGTGGCTTTCGCTAGAGTATATTCAGGCACTGTTAAAGTTGGCAGCGAATTGTACGTTCTAGGTCCTAAACATGACCCTAAAACTGCTCTTGAAAGAGCAAAAGCTGGTGAAGTAATAGATCCTTCCTTGCAGCTAAAAGATTTGAAATCTGGAATGCACATAACAAAAGTTACTATTTCAAAGCTGTACTTGCTAATGGGCAGAGAATTAGAGCCGATCGAAGAAGTCCCCGCTGGAAATGTCATTGGTATTGGAAATCTTGAAGAGCATGTTTTGAAAACTGCAACTTTATCATCCACCATAGCTTGTCCATCTTTCTCCGAATTGACATTGTTGGCAGTTCCAATACTCAAAGTAGCATTAGAGCCAAAACATCCGAACGACTTACAGAAACTAATCAACGGCTTGAAACTTTTGAATCAAGCCGACGCCTGTGCCTTGGTCCACATTCAAGAGACCGGCGAAATAGTTTTGAATACGGCGGGCGAGGTGCACCTGGAGAGATGCCTGGAAGATCTGAAGCTGAGATACGCCAAAGTTGAAATCAACGTGTCGGAGCCGATAGTGTCGTTCAAAGAGACAATCGTGCCGCCCCCGAAAGTCGACATGGTTAACGAGGTGATCGAGAAAAAGGCCGAGGAGGAGGCGAAACTCGAGACCTGGACCTGGAATCGACTGTGCTATTTCGAGATCGACGCGAGACCGTTGCCGGATGAAGTTACGAAACTATTGGAAAATAACACGGAACTCATTAAGGAGCTCGACAAGCAGTGCTCGAAACTATTCAAGGACAGAGAAGAAAATCATCAGGAAAATGCAGAGCAGCAGTGCGCAAGGCTGACGGATAAGCTGCAGAAGAGCTGGAACTCTTTGAAAGCGGAGCTCGCGACTGCTTTTAAAAATGCGGGCGGCTGGGACGAGGACACCCTCGAACGCGTCTGCTGCTTCGGCCCGCGGAAATGCGGCTCCAATATTTTCCTCAACGAAAGCGATTTCAAGCGCAAGCCCTTCTGGGAAGCGCAGGAAAAATCCGACGATCCGCGCGACGCGTAAGTTTATCCTTTACATTTTATTTTTCCTTTTACCTTTCTTCGGATTCGATTTTTCATGTCATTATTTTTCTGTCCTGCAGCTTTTACAACAGCATGGTGAACGGCTTTCAACTGGCTACGCTGTCGGGGCCGCTGTGCGAGGAGCCGATGACGGGAGTCTGCTTCGTTTTGAAAAAATGGCACATCGATCCGGAAATTTACAAGTAAGAGCCCTTTGCGAAAAAAATTGCTAGTGTCTCAAGTAAACAACAATTATCAAGCTTCATAATCTAAAAATCGAATTTTTCTCTGCAGAGACGACACGATTTACCAGCAATCCCATCTCGGAGGTCAACTGTTGTCATCGTTCAATCAGGCTTGTCGAAAGGCTTTTAGCTCGCGCAGACCTCGCCTCGTCACTCCCATGTACTCGTGCAGCGTCCTGGTGACTTCTGATGTTTTGGGTAAGTATAGAGAAAAAATTGACTAACGACTATTAATTCATCATTGGTTTTTTTCTTCGTGAAATTTCCTTTTTATTTCTTTTTTTTTTATTTACAAATTATTACGGGTCACGCATACACGAGATACGAAGAGAACCGCGTTAAATATTTTCTCTCTTGATATAATAATGATATAAAATAGACAGAAGATTTGACAAATTATCATTGTTTGTATAATAATGTTATGGGAGCGTGGACGTACAAAAAAAAAATAGTCATGGCCTTTACCTACTAGTATAAAGCTGTAAATAAATTATAAAAATTCAGAAACCAATCGGCTTCGATATCGTCACAATCTTATTGCGTCTTAAGTACACAGTAATACAATTTCTCCTATAAGACATGCACCGATACATTTTCGTCGATATCGTATATGAATTTTGTCGTTGCTGTTATTGTTGTTGTATCGGATAGCACAACTACGCAAGCATAACAGTAATGCATAGATTATCTAATGAATATTGATTTCTTTTCATTGTAAAAAAAAAATTGTTTTAATAAATCGTCGTCGCCGCTCTCTTCGCCGCGCACACGTCGTGCAAGTGTCGTCGCGCACGAGCTCGAAAGAAATCAAAAGACAGGTTTAGAGAACAAGAGACGGATACCATATATCGCTAAAGAGACACATTTTTTTCCTTATATAATATAGCAGTTTCGTGTTTCATATGGTTCTTTTTCGGTCTTCTTTCTCTCGGAGACACAATAGCGTACGTAACCCGGGCTTCAGTGCGTGTGCGCGTGGTTATTATTATAACGGCCTGACTTTAATCCAAAAAATGGAGAAAATAAATTTTTCTTCTTTGCCTATGTGTGATCCTCGCGTTGCATAGTCATATCGTTTTACTCGTTTATTTATTTTTAATAAAATATAAATATATTTAATAATAATAAATAATAATAATATAGGACGATAAAAAAAAGAAACAAAAAAGAATTGTTTCTCCGTCAACGAGACGCGTCTATATACTCCACGATGTTGTTCAAAAAGCCTCTCGCTCTCTTGCTCCTCCCGTGTGTATCATGGTCGATACCTCGCGATATAAGTAATAATAATATAATAATAAATAAAATAATAATCATCGAAAGTCACTTTATTATCGCCTTGTATAAGAGAGAAAAAATATTGCACGAGTAATGCGCGTTATACATATGCACACGAAAATAATATAAATATGTATAACGCCGTATATAGCCGAGTTATACCGAGAAAATGTTGCGCGCTCTTTATCGTCGTCGTCGTTGTTGTTCGTTATAGAAATCGCCAGCCGCGCGCACGGCCCATTATTATCGGGATCGAAAATTCGTCCCACACACACACATTCTAACGTGTATAAATGTATAAATAAAATCTCTGCAGTCGCGCGCGCAAATCGTAGCAGCAACGTATAGCAGCCGTGGCGACGATCATTTTGCGCGGCACATACACACAGGAAATTGCGCTCCATATCCTTTTCCGCGAACAATATTTGTTGTGTATCATTATAATGGGCGCTTTTATTTCATCTTTCTTTTTTTTTGTGTTTTTCGTCGTTTTTCTCTGTGTAACTTTAAGGGGGGTGACATTACGCGTCAAAGTCTTTCTCTCCTACACGAATTAATACATTTATAAATGAAGTAATAATAATCATAGTAATAATAAATATAATTGATTTTTGTTTACCTAGATTTACGTGTATGTATAATATGTTTCGCATGTATTATCGGTATAATAATTAATTAATTATAGTATATGAAATATAAAATGACGATGAAATTTGCGCTAAGTCAGTCGCCTATGTATTTAGAGGCTGGCCACTGAGCCAGAGATTGATCGGGGGCAGAGCGAGTGAGTATTATCAGATACGAATAAAATGGGTTAATACGAAAAAGTATAAAATGCGCGTGGAAAAGATGAAGATGATGAAGAAGTTTGATCGGTGGGTAGTAGGTGTGTCTTGTGTGTCACGTGTATAAGTGTGTTCATCGAAGGTATATAGTACGAAACAAGGGTGGGTCGCGTCGTTTTTCCTACGATCTCTCGTGTCTATATTATGTTCGCACCGCGTCACTCCCATCTGGCCGTCCTCATGAGATCGGGCACCAGATGCCAGGGGAAGGCCGAGCGGCGCTGCTGCTCGTCCTCGTCGTCGTCCTTTTGCAATCCTGCAAAGAGAGATAGAAAAAAAACGTGTGTGACGATGCGTCGAGAAAGATTTCTTGCTGCGTTTCCATATAGCTTGAATGATGCACTTACCCAGTACGCTGCGAATGTTGCGAAGCGGCCTGGCGCGTCGATTGGCCTGGACGCACATCATGCCGTAGACTCGGATGCCCGGCACGCTCGCGTAAGTCGGCTGGTCGTGACTCATCGGTCCCTCTGTTCAGGAACAAAACAAAACGACGAAGAAAATAGAGTCAGGAATTTTCAATATTTTTATCATTATCGCGCCGTAACGGCGTCGAGTACTCACCGAGTATATTGGTGTCCGGACAGCGACAGATGACCAGGTAGTGGGACTTGCCGGTGCGCACGTTCTGCAGGGCCAGCAGCGACCAGTCGCGGGGCGCTCGACACTCCCGCATCTCGGCCACGGGCTCGCACGTCTTCACCAGCGTCAAGGCCTATACGCGTGTACCATAGAAAGAAAAGTCATTAATTTCTCGGTCGTTTCTTTTTGCATTTTTTTAATAGTAGGTATCGGCGCAGCGCTGCACATACGAGAGAGCTCATCATCGTCGTCGTGCAGCGTGCGGGTATATTTCTCGCGCCGCTTGCGCGTTATTACGTATTATATGTACCCGCAGCCGAGACAGCGATTTTATAGCGTATGCTTAAAAATTTATCGCTTGTAACACCCCATGCTTGTATCTATCTGCGCGCTCTGCGCGTACAAGTACGAACGAGAGCTCGTTAAATTCTATCCTCCCCCCCTGGATACACCTCTGGACTCTGCTGCACATTTATGCCGCGTATATAGAAATGCGATATAAGCTGTGGCGCAGAGCATCGAGTTCAGAGCTCACGTGTATTATAGGCATATATTGTGTACTTCATTAACGCATTATAAGAATATCGCCTCGACCGCGGAAGACGATCAAATAAACTCACGCTTGCAGCTCTCTCTCTTTCTCTCGGGTGCCCATTGGTCACAGTAGTGCAGCGGAGGGCAATTTGCCATGCCTCCCTGTCTCTCGCGCGCGTTTATATATATAATACGCCTCTCTCTCTCTCTCTGAATATAGCTCGGCTTCAACATTCAAATCACTTTTGCCCGTGGACTGCTGCTGCGAGTCTCTCTCGCGTGTGCACCTGTGTGTGTGTGTGTGTATGCATTCTGGTGTAATTCCCGGGCTGGCGCGCGCGCGCGGCAACAAAAAATTAAGCCGTCAATCAAGTAGCTCGGCAGATACGAGATTAGCTTTTCTCGCGCCTGCCGCGAGAGAGCTGCAAGCGCACACTATCTACGAAGGCGAAATAGCCTTGGAGTTGCGAGAAACGCGAGGGGGGCCTACTACTGCATACAGGAGCCTACTGCACAAGAAACACGTGATACAGTTAAGCTTAGATTCCGCGAGGCACAAGCGAGAGAGGCGTGAAAATTGCTGTAAACTCTCTCGCGCGAGCTGTATAGTGCAGCTGGCGCAAGGAAGTACTGTGACGAATGTCAAGGTGAACGGCGTAAACTTGTGTATGTGTGTGTGTGTGCGAGTCCGCGCCTGCTATAGAAAGAAAACTCGAGCTGCATAAAAGAGAGAGAGAGAGAGAGAGAGAGAGAGAGCTTGTCACACCGCCTGAAAGTGAATGTACTTTTGCATGCCGTGCCAGCAGCAGTACTACATGTGCAGCTTACACGTATATATAACATGCATGTAGTACCTACGTATGTAAGCTTAAACGCTTCGTTGCTCTTATAAACGACGAGAGAGAGAGAGAGCTTTTTCCTAAAGAGAGAGAGGAAGGAAAAAACTTGCGCGGAATGTCAATTTTGTATCTTCGGCCATGTTATATCCCACGCTTCGTATGCAATGTAGCAGCTATATACATCTGCATGTAGTCTCGCGGGGCTTTTTCTTTCGGTCTCTCTCCTATACCGGTCCGATATGCACCAGATACCGATCTAATGCTCTCTCTCTCTCTCTCTAGCTATAGCTAGCTAGCTACTGCCTATACGGAGCAGCTAATGCTGTCTCTGACACAACGGATATTTGCTATTTGCATAATAATCGCGCGTCTGTAGTAGCTCAGGCGCGCGGATGCTCGTCTCTAGCAACTAGCCAGCTAGCTCTAGCTCCATACTACTCTCATTTTTCTTATCCTTTTATTTTGCGCGCGCCTTTTTGTTTTCTCTCCAATATCTCGCTAACCCATAGGTATGCGCTAATCGATTAATCCGATACATTGCATATTTTACGACTAATGCGCGAAACGAGGTTTGGGTCACGTATGTGTATATACTGCTAGTATAAACTGCTACACGGGAAAATTTCTCACGCATGCACGATGTTAGCCATGCGCCATTTGGATATATACATGCGCGGCACGAATGTGTGGTGTGGCTACGGCAACAACGTCGTCGTCGAGAGACCCGCAAGTATAAGAGAGAGAGAGAGAGGAGGAAAATAATATAATGGAATTAAACGATTAATAATAATTCTCCCGGTACGATACGCCGGCTCATTACGCACTTATATTATTAATATTAAGTATCTGTAGACACGCATATTATACTTATGAATCCGCGTGCGTGCGTGTGTGGTATATACATATACCCAGTAATACCACGACTGTGTGTACGCGCATGATACGTTGCTGCATGCGTTTATAATAGAAAGGCATTTTCCGCATTTCATCGTCGTCGCAACGGCAATTGAACGGAGCGCGCGCGCACGAGGCAGCGATTAATTCATTAGAGCGAACCGCGTATAAACGAAACGCGGACTTATCTCAAGCTCCTTCTCTCTCTTTCTCTCTCTCGTTCGCT